TAATAATCCATATTTTAATAGTATACAAGTTTTAAGTTCTTAATTGTACAAGAAAATATATTAAAAAAATCTTGAATTTCCACAAGTGTGACCCACATGACACATTTTGTCTTAGCATGTCATCATCCCTATTTTATCCATTGCCTCTCGAAAATGTACGAAATTAAGCGTAAAATACTCTCTATAAAATCATTATTGCTCAAACAGACCATAATTTTTATAGCCTTCAATTCTATTTGGTTACAGAGCTATCCAATAGAAAATCAGACCCCTCCTTCCACACCCACTTGTCACATCCTCTCTTTCACAATACGTTGATAGTTCTCTCTTACGTTTCATTACATATTACCTATAACCAATAGAAAGTCAGGTTTTCATCTATCAAATGGCATATTGTATAATGTTGTGTTCTGAACAGATAACCATCAATTTCACTTGGAGTAGCAACATCGTTCCCATGGGAAAGTTAATGACTAACTTGGATGAATTTGTAACAGCTTTTATTGCATAGTTAGAAAGCCAGGAAAATTTTTAGAAGTAAGTGAATTTGTCTACTTTTTGCATATTATTAGTCTATATACTTTGGTGTATTATTTAATTAAATAAAAATTGTGCTTTACTATAATCACTAAAAAATCAGGCTTAACTCTCCTTGACCATCGAGGGCAAGAGAAAAGAAGATTGGATAAGTACTTTATTTCTTGTTTTTCATATTTATTCTTTATTTATTATTATAAAAATAATTAAAATTAAAAGTATGGATCTTTTTAACTTATTTAAGACTAGATTAGGTAAAATAAGTAATAATAATAATAATATAATTAAAATGGTTCACAAGGCACGCATGCAAGCAGCTCGTGGGTAATGTAATTCAATAGCATAATGTGAGCTGATATTCCCAAAGTGATTTACAACTTATAATGGTGCAAATAGTTGTTAGATATGATTCAAAGGACAATAAAACAATCAAATTTAATTATAAATAGATGTATAATGTTATGAACTTAAAGAGCTACTTAGGATAAACGAATGTAGTTTCATGTTATTCTAGAAATAAAAAAGGGCAATTTAGGTTTATTTAGATTTTTTTTTGGTGGTTACGAGGTTGGTCGAATTGACTGATCCTGTTTTGAGATAGGGTAGAGAAAATAACAGATAAACTATAAGGAGTTAGTGAAAAAAAATGTTTGAAATGCATTTAGGAGATTTTAGGGATTACACAAAGGAAATTTGAGATTTTTGAGATGACGAAAAGTATTTTTAATTTTAACATGAAAATTACTTTGCACACGGACTATTCAAAACAAATACTCAATATATTCATGGACAAAACTTTATTTTATTAGAAATACTTCACTAAGAAATATGACTTTTTGTATGCGAAATACTTGTAATATTAACTGAAAGACTGCCAAATTTCGTGAAGATATACCCAATATATAGTGAGTTATAAGTATTAAATTTATATCAACTTTAAATGAGTACAAAAGTTCACATGACTCGGTCAAATTGACCGACCCCATGTTGGGAGAGTTAATAACTAAGCTGTTTTTCAGTCTAACAAAATATGAAATTTTGAGCAGACAAAAAACACAACTTATCTCCTTGAAATCTTGGTTCCAAAGATGTTAAAATGGTTAAGAAAGCCACTAGGGAGATATTCTGAGTTTCCGATTGGTTATTCATGTCGTATATAGAAGTGAGTGTATATAACGGAGCATTTTCCAAAAATGGAAAGAGGTGGGCACAGGGTGCCACTGTGTTTGATTCATTACATGAACAATACCTTAGCAAATAGAAAAGATAAGAGGTTCTTATTTTATATTCTAGCTTGTAAATATCAGTAATTTGAGTTCCTAAATCGTATGAAACTATAGACTTAGTATTTTGACATCATAAACTTTTAACATGAACCAGTGTTGCATTCAACATACCATGTGACACACAAAATCTATGTATAACTGTTTTTTTAATATTTACTTTTAAATTAAGAAACTGAG